CACTAATTTTAGGATCAATCTTCACTTGATGTATAACTCTTCGCTCGGTTATGGAGTTCATAATTTTCTTTCTCCCTCTTCCTTCGTTATTTGCCAGCATACCAGTCTTCTTAAATTTTTGCAGGATTTTTTGGATACAGTTAACACTTCGTCCAACTACTTTAGCAATATTCAGCTGGGATTTACCTTCATTTGACAGTTTAATAAGTTTTCTCTCTTCGATCGTCGTTTCCTTCCGATTCTCCATTTTAATCAAGACATCAAATCACAAACATAAATTTGTTATCAGATAGCCTTTGAAAGCCTTCCTTTATTATAGATCTATTTTTTAAATTTATATTTAAAAAAATACTGGTAGTTTTGCATAGTGATTAAAGAAGTGTACCCTCAATTTTGTGACATTAAAATGGTGTAGTTTTTCTTTCAAACCTTCATATTTTTGTTTCAACCGATTTCCATGTCTTACATTTAATGTTATTTGGAAGAGTAATGTATGCATTTTTTGAATGTACAAAAGTGCGTTAACATAGCATATTAATTTCTACACCTGGTGATCCGATGGTGAATTCGGAATTAAGTGTACTCTCAATTTTGGGAGTCACTGTATGTATATATATATTAACTAGAAGTGCACCTAAATGCTAAAAATTATGCTTTTGGGAAAAAGTGAAGAAAAACTACAAAACAGTAATGTTTTAACATATTACACACTTGTTTAATATTTTCATGTATAGTTTTATATGCTTAATAATGATACTTTAATCATTCTCCGGAGTTACAAAAATAATTTTAAGTTCAAAAATTTCCTTTTCTTTGTTTTATCTGAACATGAACATATAATTTTTGAGACTTCGTATGCCTATTTTCATTTAAGTATTTTCTTATAAAAATATTTGTTGAACATACTCAATATTTTTCACACACATATAAAACAATGAACAAAATATAGTTAATCAGCTTTTCTAAGCAATAACTGTATAATTTCTTTGAAAAAATTATAAAGCTTTAAACTTAAACAATTTTAATTTTTTTACACACATAAAATTATTTTTTTAAAAAAATTAGACATTATATATAGAGAGAAAAATATTTTTGTTTCTTTCAAATGAAAAAAAAATTGTTTACATATATCAAACACATAAGCGGAACGATTCTTATAAAATGTGTCAAAAGGAAAGTGGTCATTTATTTACATTTTTATCAATTTTCTCTACCATATTTTAGGGGCTCTTTTATCAACGAACGTATAAATGGAAAACATTTTACATTTAAAAATCTATGCACTATTTACAAAAATTTAAATTGGAAAATGGATTTTTTGAAAGCACACGATGACACCCTTAACTTACGTCTATTCAATCAATCGGGGAAGTTAATCCTATACGAGAGTTATTTTGCAACAGTTATTTCTCTTATTCAGTTTGTTTATATTAAATAACTATTTCACTTGGATACATAAAACTAAAGTTTAAAACCATTCTAATGACAGGACTTAGAAAAACTTTTACCGCTAAAAACCCGCCGTGTAGGGGAGCGATGCACGTTAAATCTGTTGAGAACTCAAACGTCCTCCCGTTGGTGTGCTGTGGTGTGGTGTGGTAGCTAGGAAAAGGGGTGCCAGCTCAGGTGAACTTGAAGGTGAACTAGCTCAGGTGAACCAGGTCACTTGACCATGGTTCAAAATATCGAGGTTCGTCGCCAAAAGCCCTCGTGTAGCTGAACAGTGCGACGTTAATATTCACTCACTCACTAGAATATTGCTGTTGAAACCTGTATTTCAAGGATTGTTTTTAGGCAATATATTTCCATCGCTCCAGAGGAAATGTCTTGCTCTTTGAGACTGATTTGCATAAAATCTTAGAACCCCGATCAAAGTAACAGTATGTCACAAACTGGCGTTCAAAATTTAGAGAACTTTGAGATTTGGTCGATTATATACAGAACTACTGGACGGATTTCATTGAAATTCAGTTTGTACATAGGGTTGAAAAAAGGGTGGTCTTGCCGACTATGAAAGGGAAAAATAGATGACTCTTGCTTATCTTTTAATTAAAAACTTCTGGGGCCCGCGTTTTTTTTAAATAAAAATTTCATGCGCACTTTTTTCATCGAAGTTTTGTTTTCTTTCTTTAAATATAACTGTCATGCAGTCCACTTCCACTGAATTTCAGCGAGTGAACGAGAGCAAAAATAATTGAAGAACAAAAAAAGATTATTTTTATGTAGGATATTGAAGATAAGGAAAAACGGAATATGGGATCTATTTTTTGATTCAGTAGAATAAGTATTTAGGCACAAAAATGAGCCAAAAGAAATAAACTCCCTAATTTTAAAGAAGTTAATTAGTGAGAAAGTTGCCGATATTTTGGTTTATATTCGTGAGAACAACTATAAGACTACGAGAAAATAAAGCGTTGATTGCAAAAAAGATCCCTTTCCTTTTGTATGTTTAGATAATTTTAAGAAGCGTGTGAGCGGGGGCTCTCAGGGCATAAATTTTCCTAGCCTTACATAGTATACGGTGTTATATAAGTTATATAAACGTATTTACGCAACGGTATAGTCAACATTATATGAAAGGAAGCACATGTTTGCCAATTCAGCGCGTACGACACATCAGGGTGGAGAGTTATCTATAACGTTGGCATTGTAACGATACTACGAAAGTACTATGGAAACATATATGTGAAATAAATATAATTCACATAAGTAATTTACTTATAAATATTTTTAAGCAATTTAGCTAATTGATTTATTACATCGTATGTATTCATATATAAATATGCAAAAATGCATAACTATTCAAGTACTGCCCTTCACAGAAAATGGATAAAATAAACAAATCCCCGATGAATGGGCATGAAAAAGTGAACTGTAAAAATATCGTGAAAGAAAACATTGTACATCAGAACGATTGGATACTCTTGCCAAGAATAAATCAGAAGTTTTCACTTCTATCGTGTGGTCATAAACACACACATTTTTTTTCGTTATGGTCATTTATATCGTGAGCCATATTCTTGATTACTATTAATTAAAGAATGTATTTCATTTCTATTTGTTTGCCCAGGCAAGTAGTCACAGTCCCGAAGAAATCAGTCTCATGGCAGAGTGTTTTTATTAGTATTTAAACAATTTAATTGCGGATGCTCTAATATTCTTAAAAATGATTTCTGTTATAAAACAAAGAATTTCTCAGACTTCAATTTCTGTTTTTATTTGGAGTAAAAAAAAGCGAAAAAAATACCAAAAATTTTCCTTCAGTTCTTTATACAGTGTTTTTTGTCCAGGTATAGAAGTTTAAGTTGGCATTACTTTCTAAGATGGCGACCGATTTAACAGCTGTCAAGTGATTTATTCTCAGTTTGGTTTGGCAATCCATCATGAATAGACTCACGCCTGAACAACGCTTTCAAATTGTGCAATTTCATTTCGAAAATAATGGTCGATTTTCATAAGCGAATTTTGTTTAGCGATGAAGCGCACTTCTGGTTGAATGGCTACGTCAACAAACAAAACTGCCGCATTTGGAGTGAAGCTAATCCACAAGTGTATGTCGAAACACCATTACATCCAGAAAAACTGACCGTTTGGTGCGCTTTATGGGCTGGTGGAATCCTTCTTCAAAAGCGATGAATACCACAACGTTACAGTCAATGGTGATCGGTATAGAGCCATGATTACTAACTTTTTCATTCCTAAATTGAACAATCATGATGTCCAGGAGCTGTGGTTCCAACAAGACGGCACAACATGTCACACAGCTCGTGCCACAATCGATTTATTGAAAGACACGTTTGGTGACCGCCTAATTTCACGTTTTAGACCTGTGAACTGGCCTCCAAGATCTTATGATTTAACACCGTTAGACTATTTTCTGTGGGGCTATGTTAAGTCATTGGTCTATGCGGATAAGCCACAAACGCTTGACCATTTGGAAGACAACATTCGCCGTGTTATTGCCGATATACGGCCACAAATGTTGGAAAAAGTCATCGAAAATTGGACGTCCAGATTGGACTACATCCGAGCCAGCCGTGGCAGTCCTATGCCAGAAATCATATTTAAAATGTAATGCCACAAGATTATCTTTCGAATAAAAAAATTCATGTCAATCGAATAATACATGGTTGTTTTATTGCAATTTAAAGTTCTATACCTCTAGAAAAAACACCCTTTATGTAACAATATTTAAATAAATAATATGCCGCAGAGTACATCACATCTACTTGCCACTGTTATCTCGTGCGTCAACTTGTTTATTATGGTCACATTTAAGAAGAACAATATTTCAAAATGAACAATATTAGGATTCAGCCGGTTCACACTTGTTTGGCAAAGTCACTTCCTAATTCTGTAAAAAGTTCAGAGAACCAATTATTGTGATATTTTTAATCAGGATTAATAAGAGAGTCAGGGTTTAATGCAACATTAGCAAATAAACGATTAATACATCAGACGAGATGTGCCTTTGCACATATTGACGGAAAGTATCTAAAGAATTAGAAATACTATAAGAGATTAAGTGAGCAAAATGCATATAAAAAGCAGCAATCGTTATGATTTTTTACAAAAACTATAATTCAAACTAAACTTCGATAGCACAAAACTAAAAAAAAAAAATTTTATGTAAAAAAAATTTTAAGTCAATTCCTACTTAGGTCAACAAAGATAAATTTATTTTACTTTCTTTTTATTAAATATTCACAATTAATTTAAATATATATATATATAAATATATATATATATATATATATATATATATATATATATATATATATATATATATATATATATATATATATATATATATATATGCGAGAATTAAAATTTTTAGTGGCAAAATAGAAAGCGATTTTCCGTGCAATTTTCCATTTTCCTGTTTGTATAGAGTATTGGACTATTTTTTTGTTTGTGTTTGTTACTATTTAATCATTAATTAAATTTAATTATTCTAATGAAATAGTATAGTAAAAAAATCATATTCTCAGAAATTTATCCATCCCAGATGGGATTCGAACCCACCACCGTTGGATAAGAAGACCAATGCACTATCCATTGCGCTACAGGAATACACTGCTTTCGTTGAACGATTTTCCTTTTTATGTATGCTGTTGGATTACGATTTTTGTTTGTTACTATTAATACATTAAGTTTAACTAAGGAATTATATTTGAAAAAAACTGAATTAACACCAAGTGCCATCCACTACAAGTTTAAAAAATGTTTTTGAACTTGAATGGATAAACAGAAAGTATTTTATTAACGATTGAAAAATCGAATAAGATATATATATATATACGTAGTGAATGAGGGGACTTATAGTAGGAATTGGAAAAAAAAGAGAAAGAAAAGAACTTTTGGATGTGTTAACGACTGCTTCTGAACAGTAACATATTTATTTATCGTTTTTGACGAAGTTAAAAGAAAGTTGGGTTTTTTCCCCCATAAAAATCACATCAAAACAATTTTATTTGTTTATAAAAGCTGTGTAAATATCGATAAAGACTTCCTTATGGGATATAACACGTGCCGATTTCGCCGTTATTGAATGAACGCGGTAGCCAAATCCAAACGGTAATGTTTGCAAACTTTTAACCGGTGGTGCGTGTGTTTTTCCGTGTCATGTGTTCAAGTCCTGGTGCCACTAAAGATCCAACGTATAGTGGGGCTGATGCACGTTAAATCTGTCAAGGCTGAGTTTGATTTGATTTTAATGCATTCCTTACTATGAAGCAATAGGTAAGGCTACTGAAGACGAATTTCGTAATTTTAATCTACGATCAAGTTGTATCGGGTTTCCTACTAAACCACCTGGGGTTGATTGATTGAATATTAACGTCGCACTGTTCAGCTACACGAGGGCTTTTGGCGACGGATCACGTAATTTTGAACCATGGTCAAGTGACGTGGACGACACCTGAGCTGGCACCCCCCTCTCCTAACTACCACACCACACCCACGGGAGGACGTTTCAGCTCTCGACAGATTTAACGTGCATCGCTGCCCTACACGGCGGGTCTTTAGTGGTACTGGGCTCGAACTCGTGACAAGGCAAGCCACGGTCCGATACCTATACCACTCGGCTACCGCGGCCATAAACCACCTGGGGAAAATATTCTTTAACTGTGATATTAGTTTAAAGACCACTATCCGTAGAAATGACTTAGTTTACGCAAATGCAACTTCTATTTAAGTTCCAGTCGTTAAGTAGGCGGGGTAATGGTCAAGCATTGATGCTAAGTTGATTTTCTAGAGTTATTAGGCAGCTACTCTGATGGTCGTTCATCTTAAGATTAATTGTAGAAGGTGCACCTGTGAATAGTGGAAGGCATCAACCTTGTAGCTGAATGAGCTAGCAGGCTGCAAGCCGGATCATACAAAGAGATTTCAGAAAGATAAGTACCTTTCATTATTTAGTTATCTAAATTTGGCTTAAAATATCTTATGGCTCCCAAAGTTTAGTTATAAAAGTGTATTTCATAAAGTGTTAAAGCTTAGTTAAAATTAGTTATTCTAAGATCATGTCGACTTCTTTCTCGAACCCTCCCATACCCGCGACCTCCGTGTCGCAACAAAGTGACGAAGACGACAACTCTGCGGGCTCTCTCCTCTCCAAACTTCCACATTACGCTATTGTGTGGATTTTTTCTGCTACACTATATTTAACATGCATCATTCCCTCTACACTGTTGTTTTTTTTGTTTTTGGTTATTTTTTGGTACTAGGTTTCTTGTGCCTGCGACTTGGCAAAGCCGTCACGAGTTCGCGACCTTGACCACTCGTCTACTGAGTCCACAGGCGAGACTCAAGATTCTTACATTAACATGGTGGGGAAATTTGGACAGTGAGGTTTCATCTCAAATGGTGGGCATGGTAGCCCAGTGGTCAAGGTCAGGTACTCGTGGCTGGCGTGCCATAAGTTCGAGCCTTGTGCCATTGAAGACCTGCTGTGTGGAGCGGGTCGCTGAAAGTTAAATCTGTCGAAGCTCAAACGTCCTCCCGTTGGTTTGATGTGGTAGTTAGGAGAGGAGGTTCCAGATCGAATGTCGTCCTCGTCACTTGTACATGGTTCAAAATTAGTCACCAATAGCTCTCGTGCAGTTTTATAGTTTCATGTTAAAAACTCTCACTCCAGCTCACATGTCTTCCTCGTCATTTTTCCGTGAGGTTTAAAACTATGATGCTCATCGTAGCGTGTTAATAGACAATCAGTCACAATTATTGAAAATTACGAATCCCATGTACTGTGTTATCCCCGTTCACGGACATTTAGATTACTATTAAGTGTCACATTATCTTATGTTATTTTCTGGGATACCTAAGCTGCTTAAATAACATCCCGTGAATAAAAAACGTGCATTTTAGCTTGTCACGAACAGAGGCGTATAATGCGTAGCAAGTAGAACGGTATGTACCGCTTTATTCCCAAACCTGTTAAAAAGGTCTTGAAAAGGAACAGGCAGCTGAATAAAAGCTTAACTTTTTACGAATGTCACTTAAGAATAACTCATTTTCATATAATTAAATAAATAAAAGATTATGCTTTGCCTTTATAGTACACTTTTCAAATTTTTCTCTTTCTATTTTACAGATTGAAATTTTTTAAATAAACTGGAAATTTTTTCAAGAATTTTTTTTACAGTAAGAATTTTACAAGAATTTTTTAAACAATCTGGGAATGGAAGGTACCTTTTGTTCACCTAAAGGCGGACCAACTTTTAAGGTACAAATTATACAACTGTTCATACGTATTGCTCAAATTATAAAACTGTGGTTTACATGTGTAATTTCATTTTTTCTTTCAATATATTGTAAGGAGGAAAAAAAATAAATCTCAAGTTTTCATCTCTGCATTTTAAATTTTACTTCGATTTAGTGCCTCTTCAAAAACAATGTTCCCTATCACCCATCACCTTTAACTTTATACCGTTTTTGCTTCTGTCCCTTGACAGAGCCACATACAATTGTGCAAATTTGTCGACTTGGCGACTATATGGATGCTTCTGAAAATTAGCGAGGAAATCTATTACCTCACGATCTATGACGAGAACGGAGTTTTCGAACAAGCGCTGGAAGGTAAGGGAAGACCCCTAAGTATAAATCGTTTTTTTAAAATAAATGCGATAGACGAGAAAAAAATATGAGAGACAATTTCAAGTACATCTTAAATATAAAAGATTAATCAGAATCAATTAATAATATCTTGTTCAATTCAAAATATTTTCGTTTCTCAGATTTCATCACAAAATGATAGTAAAAGGGAAGGAGCTGAATATCCCTTTTTACAAATTTTTAAGCATGCATTAGAACAGGGATGGGCGGATAGTTTCTTTGCGGCCGTTTGAGACAGCCAGAAAACCAAAAAGACATGAAATGTTCTCTATATTTGGATCAACATATATTTTGTGAGCAAGGTTTTTCTTGCATGAAAATCAACTAGAACAGTGGTCGTCAAACGTTTTGACCTCACGGGCCAGTAAATTAATAATGTAAATCCCGTGGACCACTAATAAGATTTTTAAATGTTAAATATTTTTATTAAAAAAATATGCCCATGGTTAAGCTTTAAGATCATACCTGTCTTAAGAAGCACGAATTTTCAAAAGAAAATACACAAAAACTTTCTTAATAACCCAACTGATATGTTGAATGTATTTTATATTTAACTCAATACGTCTGTAGTCCCACCTTTGAATGCTTCAGCTGATATACATATGCGGCATACAAGAGAGTAAAACATTAGAGAGTGCAAAAAGAGATAAAACAAAACATGTAGCTAAAACACACACAATACAGCTAAAGCAGTACGATTTATTTACCGTGGGGTTATTCGATGAAGCAACTTTTTTATAACTTTTTAAGTATTGTTATGAATGGAATTATGTTTCAAAGCATCTTAAAACATAACTTAACGTGATGAGTAAGTATATTGCATATTTTTCTGGGGACCAGCGAAATTTTCTCGTGGACTACTAGTAGTCCGCGGACCACCACTTTGGCGACCTCTGAACAAGAATAAATGTAGATGCCAGTTGGCTGGCATTATCTTGCAGGCTGTAATGAGAATTTTAATTCGTAATGCCACGCCTGATTTTAAAAAATTCGTATAAAAGTGTGATGAGGGTACATTTGTCATTCAACTGATAAGCGCTTTCAGCAAGAACAATGGAATCAGCACAATAAATAAACTGAATAACACTCTGCCACTATTTAATTTAATTTATATTGGTTGATTTTTATGGTACAACTAGCTGGTATACCCGTTCTTTGCATGGGAGAATTGAAAAATTAAACAATACAGATTGAAGGATAAAGAAGTTTTTAACGAGTTAATTTTGCGTGAATTGTAAATTAAACAACAACAAAAAAAAAGGTTTTTTGAATATCTCAGTTGAAATAAAAAAAAATCGAATTTGTTAAATTTTATGTCTGTAGATCTAATAGCTGATAAAAAGGAATTTTTTTTTATTATTTATAAAGCCCCGTAACTCTCCTGTGGATCGGTTTTTGAAAATACCTTCCTTCTGCTCAGCAAAAGTAACACAATGTTACACATTTTGCGTAATGAACGCTTAAAATATTGCAAATAATTTATATCTGGATGTGTAATACGTTAATTTTACTTTCTGTTGCATTTATTTTATGTTAAAATTGTAATATTCGCAAGCAACGCCGTTCCTTGCATTATAATGGCGATTCAATGGAAATATAGAGAATCGTTGGCAATAGAGCTAAGTTGGCATCATTTTTGGCGACTATGTTGGCCACTTGACGATAGATTGAACGGTGCAGAATTTGATATGACGTAGTGCTTCCTGGTGGGGAGCTACAACAAAAAGGATAGCACACAAACTTTCTCCACACAAAAAAATACATATACATGCCAATTTTAATAGTAATTGGTTGAATAGAGTTGGAGTGAAGGGATTTCATATATGCAAACATTTATTTATATATAGATAGATAGATAGATAGATAGATAGATAGATAGATAGATAGATAGATGTATACCTTTTCTGACAAGGAGAGGGCACGACTAAGGAAATTCATTTGGGATCGAGACTTGATGT